GCCCGAGAGCAAGACAGACCCCTTGGGTGAGTGTGCTACGAGGACAGGAAGGGGGACAGAAAGGGAGGGGCGCACCCCCCGCCACCGCGTCTTCCCTTAGTGCCGAGTGTGCAAAATTGCACAGGTCTCTTGTTGTGCTTGTGAAACATGCACGCACAAACACACTCATGCACATGCACTTGCACATGTGCATATACACACATACCCATGCGTGCGCACCCACACGCACCCCCATGCACACACACACACATATGCAGGCACAGCCATGTGCATACATCCCCACATGCATGCATGCACCCACATGCATGCTTGCACACCCACCCATGTATTCACACGCACACACCCACATGGATGCACACACACACACACCCCCCCACAGGTGCACACACATATACACACATCCATATACCACTGCACGGGGGAACCCCGGTGGGTGCGGGCGCTGGGGGTCTGGACACAGGAGAGCTCTGGGGTGGCCGGAGCCCAGGGCAGGGCTAGAGAAGTTCCCCAAATGTCCAGGCCTCAGAGAAACACCTGGAGTCACCTGAAGGCAGACCGGGAATCTTGTCGAGGGGAGGGAAGGGGTCAGGCCCATGCTGACAGTCCCCAGGTCCCGTGCGCCCGAGTGGGCCTGCACGTGTGCATGGTGCACATGCGTGTGCACGTCCCAGCTGCAGCAGCCGGCCTTCGTCCTTTGGCAGGCCCCAGAGGAGCGGCCGAGGAGCCAGGTGGGAAGACCGCAGAGCAGTTCGGTTGGCAGATTTCCACTTCGCCACCCTCCCAGCGCAGCTTTAGAGCATCTGCCCTCTGAGGTGCTGGGAACAAAACCCCCCGGCCGCTCGGGGAGGGGAAGAAGCCAAGAAGTTGGGGTCGGAGATGGGCTGGGGAAGGCGCAGGCACTGGCAGGGAGGAAGACAGCATCAGACACGCTGGCAGTGCCTGCCGAGGGGAGAGGGGCAGCCGCTACCTTGACCCCTTTTCCTCTCCCTAGCTATTGCCCCCTCCGCTCCCTCGCTCTCACCGCAGCTTCAGCTGGTGAATCACAGCTTGGAGCGATCTGGTTTCAAGCAGGACAGGGAGAAGAAAGGCTCCTTGTCTGGAGGGTCATGGCTCTAATCCTGTTCTGCGTCGCGGAGAGAAAGGAGAACGACAGAGTGAGAAGCACAGACCTGGTTTCTATGCCAGCTCCCTCTTTCAGCCCCCCTCGCCTGTGCCAGCCGCTACCCTGCCACAAAAGGCAGGCTCCCCTCCCAGCAAACTAACCAAGCATCTAAATTGAGTAGCTGCCCGCAGCCCGTCCGTCGGAAAGTGATTAAACAGCCGGTGAAAGCTCAGGGGTCGCTTCCCTGAACGGGAGGCAAATTCCTCAGTGGCCTCGAGGCTGTGGCCCCAGCTCCCCTCCGGTGGAAACGGGGCCCTGCCCGTCTCCAGCACGCGGGGCATCCGCCTCGTGCCTTCCAGACCCGCCAAACCTCCCGGCTCCCCAGGACCTGCTTCTGGCTCGTGTGGTCTTACCGCGGGAGCCCTATCAGGATGGTTCAATTGAAGGCAGAAATCGCGGCCATGTGTTTTATAAGCAGGAGGCCTGACGTCCTTAGGGCAGCATCTTCGCAATACAGATGGGGAAACTGAGGCACAAAGAGGCAATGAGTCCTGCTCGTGGTCCCGAAGGGAATCATAGGATCATGGAGAATCAGGGCTGGAAGGGAGCTCTGGAGGTCACATCTAGTCCGACTCCCGCTCGAGCAGGACCAGCCCCAGCTACATCATCCCAGCCATGGCTTTGTCTAGTCAGGTCTTAAACACCTGCAAGGACGGAGAGTCCACCACCTCTCCGGGGAGCCTGTCCCAGTGCTTTACTAGTTTCCCCATGAGAAAGTTTTTCCTAATATCCAACCCCAACGTCCCTTGCTGCATCCTGAGCCCATTGCTCCTTGTCCTGTCATCTGCCCCCACTGAGCACAGCCCAACTCCATCCTCTTTGCAGCCCCCCTGCAGGGAGGTGAAGGCTGCTATTCAATCCCCTTCCATCTTCTCTTCTGCGACTCAATCAGCCCAGTTCCCTCAGTCTTTCCTCACCAGTCCTGTCCCCCAGCCCACAAACATTTTCATTGCCCTCCGCTGGACTCTCTCCAATGTGTCCACATCCTTGCTGCAGTGGCGTGTCCACAGCTGGACACAGGACTCCAGATGTGGCCTCCCCAGTGCTGAATAGAGGGGAAGAATCACTGCCCTCCATCTGCGGGCAATGCTCCTACCGAAGCAGCCCAGGATGCCGGTAGCCTTCCTGGCACCAAGGGCACACTGCTGACTCCTGTTCAGGTCCTCGTCCCCTGTCCCCACAGATCCTTTCCTGCAGTCGGCCTGTAGCGTTGCATGGGAAGCGCTGGAGGTCCCAGCTCCGAATCACTTTGTGTCTCACTTTGGCCTCTTGCACGGTCTTTTGGGAGAAGCGGTTTTCCTCCCCCCCTGAGAAAGCAGGAGCGACTCCATGAATACGGAGAAGCAGAGGGCGTCTTGCAGGGATCTCCGTCGGCCAGACAAGACGAGTGATCCCAGGGGAAGCCAGCACGGATGCACCACACGCCTACCCCCTGCAGCTGGTTTCTGCCCTCACCTCGGGTCAGATCAAAAATGCCATTGAAATGGCAGAGGCCTCCACTATACAATGGCTCTGTTTTAGCCAGGGGCCGCAAACTGAACCCTGCCATCCATCCATGCCACTGAAAGTCCTGGCATATATTGTCTAGGATGCACCCGGACAAGGGTGGTACCCAGGCACGAGGTTGCTCCCTGTGGCCCTCACACAGGTGGGCAGGAGCTATTTTGCTGCGCCTCCTAGGCTAGCTCCGGGCTGAGCGGCGCCCTGGGCAGCAAACCAGCAGCGAGACCGAGAGGCACAGAAAACGGGTCACGCGGGCTCGGGTGCGAGGGTCAATCGCAGTTGCAAGCGCTTCCCACCAGAAGCCGGGCAGAGCTCCCGAAGGGGCTGGCGGCCGGCTCCGGGGCCGTCTGTCTGGGGCAGCGCGTGATGAACGAGGGCCCGGCCGCGCTGTTCCTGGAAGGCTGGCCTGCCGCCGAGCCAACAACCCAGCAAGCAGAAGCCAGGCAAAGATGCTCATCTCCTTTGTCGGAGCGGGAAACCTCCCTGCCGCCGGCTGGGAAACAAAGCTGTGCAATTTAGGGCTTGCTCGCTGCGCGGACTGGTTTTCCTCTGCAAAAGCAGGTCTCTCCGCAGCCCGGCTCGGTCCACAGCGCCGGTCGCTGGTCACCCTGCCACGGGTGCAGGAGCAGAAGGATTCGACCGTGCTTTGGAAGTCTTTCGTTTTGCTGCCTTTGATTCCTCCCCAAACCCTCCCGCTGCTCCTCTCTCTGCAGGGGCCCTTCCCCATGCCCAGCACAGCGGGTGGGAAGCCAGGAGACCCCCGAGGTCTAATCCTGGGTCTTCCACTGACTTGGTGCCCAGGGCTTAAAAATACACAGTCACCGTCAAGCAATACAAGGGCGAAGGGGAGAAATGCACCCCTGAGAACAAGATCCTCTCCCCAACGCTGCTTGCTTGACTGCTGCAAGCTCCCTGCATTGTGTGCTGGCCAAACTGCAAAATGGGTGATGGGATTTCCCTTCATTGCCAGTGCAGAAGTGCCGGTAACAAGATGCCAGCCACCGCAAAGCTCCCATCCTTTGGACAACAGCCTTTAAAGTGGCGAAGTGACCTGGGCTTTGGAGCTGTACGGAAAGGCTCCTCGGGCCGGTGGGCTTGAGACAGCTCCCCGATCACGCGTGCGACAGAGTAAAGGCTGACCGCATCCTGGACAACCCTGCCCTGCGAGGAGCGGGGTCAAACACGGCTGCATCTCGGATCCCCCGTTTGCTCTGCACTACCCGGCAAAGAAGCAATGACCGGCTCAGTGCAAACACCGGGCTTCACGTCTGAATTGCAGGACGGTTGTTTAATTTCTCCAGGCCGCGTGCGGGGCGTAAGGCTGCCAAGCAAGCTTTATAGCAACGGCGCTCAATCTTTTTTAGACACCAGACCCCGCTTCTAGGCAACGCTAGCTCCGCTATTGCTCTTTTTTTTTGACTACGGAGAGGTACTAGAGCAATTCTCCCATTGCAAAGCACTCAGGAATTCCCCAGCGGGGCAGAAAGCTTGTGATGCTCTGCAGCTGGTGAAGCACGTGTAGGTGCTGGCACCCCGCACAACGGTAGACTTGCCGGGCACCCTTCAAAGGAGCGTACGGTGCCCTGGAGCAAAACGGCACCCCGGTGGAGAATCGTTTGCCGAGGCCTGCGTTGGGGAAGATCATCAACAGCTGGTAGACCATCTCATGGTCTCTGCAGCCCCAGCAGGGGTGACCCATCTGCAGCACACGGGTCCCCCGCGGCACGGGGCAGGAGCAGGAGAGGGCAGGGAGCAGGGATCAGGCAGGGAACACAGAGCTGGGAGCAGAAAGCAGAGCAGGAGATCGGGTGGAGGGTCACTCTTTGCGGGTGCTATCAAAACTATTTGCCGTGGATCGTTGTATCGTATCATAGGGCTTGGAGGACTTTGCACACCCACCCTGCTAGTCAGCGGCGAATAACGCGCGGGTGAATAACTCGCATCCTAACAACGTTTCACGCGGGGTGAAACGACTCCTTTGAGGACTTCGGTACTGTCGAGACTTTACACGGGGACGGTTCATCACCCGTAAACCTGCCCGTGGATACCTGTGGATAAGCAGCTAGGCTCAACGCACCCATGGGAAGAAAGGCTAAATTGGCAAGGATGATGATTTGACGAGTAATTATTTAACGAACCGGTCAATTAACCGAACTCTTGAGCCTGAAAAGAGGAAGGGGCCTTTCTGCGAGGCCTGGCGAACTCGCGCTGCAGCGGGGAGGCAGCCGGCTGCTTGACTTTTTGGGGTTTAAAAGCAAAAAAAAACCCAAAAAAACACTTCATTTCAAGTTCTTTCCTTTTTTTTGTTTTTAATCGTATTTCAAAAAAAGTCGGGTAAAAGTACAAAAAAAGTCAGTCGCGTCACAGCAAAGATTTAGAAATCACAGCGGTGGAGCTAACCCGAGCGAGACACAGACAGAGCACAGACCCAACGGACACGACGCGCCGGACGAGCGTCTGGATTCTTCTTCGTTTGCGTACGATCATTGTTACGTGGTTGGTTTCCTCTGTACAACATACACCAAAGCATGCCATGGACCCGGGGGGCTGGGGGGGGACGGGACGCACGGTTATGAGACACAAGATGGGTACGTGAGGACACGGGATGCGTGTGAGCTCTCCTCCCTCTCCGTTGCCTTCATGTCAAGTTGTTCTGCAGACAGTTCACCTCGGCCTCGTCCGGCTCCCCCTTGCCGCTGTCGTGCTTGGGCGACGTGGAGTTCTGGATGTTGAAGGACTCCTCTTCCTTCGTGCAGGGTTTCAGCGACTCCTGCAGCTTGTGGGGAGCCGCCGGGTCGTCCTGGAGGGGAAAATGGGGGGGCCCAGAGGAGAAAAGGGGCGAGGGAAGGTCAGGAGGAGGCTGTGCTGCAGATGCCCTTCCCCTCCTTGAGAAAGCAGAGAGCGGCGGTACGGGGTAGCAGCAACGCAAGCGGGCGCGGGCGCGGGCGCGGGCGCGGGCGCGGGCGCTGCCTGCCCGGGGGTGACAGCAATGGGTCCAGGGGCGAGGCTGGGGGGCCCCACAACCCACAAAAAGCAGGGGCCTCTCCCCCCACGTGCTGCGGAGGTCCCCGCCGGTTCACGGGGTGCTCCCCAGCCTTTCCTCCTGCCGTGGGGTCTAATGACCACGCATCCCGCCGGCCACCGAGGCCGTGCAGAGAAGGGTTGGAGCCAGCGACCGTGGACGCAGGGGACTCGCGGCCAAAGCCCGGGAGACGGCGTCTCTCACCTCCTGGGGGCAGGTAGCCGCAGCCTCCGATCTGTGTACACCAGAGGAGGCAACTGCACCGGAGGGAGCTGAGCCCCTTGCCCAGAGCTCGTGCCAGGAGTTTGTGGCAGCCGGGGAGAGAGCCCAGGAGTCCCAATTCGTTGCCCTGCGCCACCCCGGGCAGCGGGAAGCGTTTCTGCCTCTGCCCCATGACCGAGCACCCTAGATCTGCTGGGCTGCCCCCTTAAACCAAAGGGAGATGGTTTAAGCAATGCCCACGTCTGCCTTTCAGACCTCCGGCGGCTGGGGAGCGACACCAGCTCGGCTCCGGGACGTCAGCGTTGCAAACCTCAAGCGGCGCCGCCCTCTCGCGGACAGAATCGGCTCTGCTCTACTGTGTGTCAGGAGGGCTATACTGCTGGCAGCAGAGGGAGATTCACCTGCAACTCCAATAGGGGCCCAGGGCTGGCAGGGACCTTGCTGGTCACATCAGCTCCTGGGTGACTTCTTTCCTCCTCATTAAATATAAGAGCTCTTTTTGCCGTTCTGGGGATGCACGGCGCATGGGAAGGCCAGAACAGGCTGCCGCCATCATGTCTGACCTCCTGCATGGCACACGCCGGAGACTTGCGCCGTGCTCTGCCCGGCGTGGCCATCCCGGGACCGACGGCCGCAGGGACAGAGGGGCCTGGGGTCTCCAGGGGCTGCTCAGCCTTGCGCTGGGGTGCTGTGCGCCCTGCCCCTGCCCCTGCTCACGGGATGGATATTCCCTGCGCTGGCCAGGCAGGGGTCCTATCCAGCTGTAGATGCCACCACTCCCCTGGGCAGGCCGTGCTGCCACCTCGCTGCTCCGACAGGCAACCGAAAGCACAGCCAACTCGGCAATTCACCCTCCTGCATCGGCCGCACTGTGCTGCTTGGGGCTGCCTGGGCTTCTCCAGACACAGCTGCATTGCACTGGTCAGGGGTGAAGTGTTCCCTGTAGACTCCTTCCCTTCTCCTGCGGCAGTGTGCACATGCACACGCATGTGTATGTGTATGTGCACATGCATGCACACACAGGCGTCGAGCACAGCAAGATGCCCCTGGTGCAGAGAGCTGCCCGTGAGCTGACGGTCACCCCGTCCCCTAGCTGAACCCCTGGATCCGTCCGAGCTCGGCCCCTTGCACCCATAGCTCGCTCCCGGCCTCCCCTATTGTCACCTACTCAGCCCACCCCCGTTTGCACCGGACCAGGCTTTTTAGCTGCCTTGCTGTGAAGCCCCGCCATGGTAGCAGCCCTCGTGCTTCGGGGCTCTCTCTCCTTAGCAGCCTCTTCCAGGCGGCAGGGAGAGCCCCAGCCCGGGACTGCGCTCGGGTGCGGAGCTGGGTGCACGCTGCATGGGGGAGACTGATGCCCTGGGGAGACCGGCGCCCCTGCTCCTCTCTCCTCTCCCCGGTGCCCCCAGTCGCCAGCCAGGCGGCGAGCGGCTGACGCCGGACACAGACACACGCAGACAGACACGTGTGCACACGGGGTCCGTGGCCGCCGGGGCGGGCAGGAGGGCGGGAAGGGGGCGATGCAGAGATGAGCGCAGAGCAGGCGGGCGCCAAGCGGCTGCGGCGTGGATGGGGGCGGCTTTCGACGGCCCTCGGGGCGACGGGGTCTGCTGGGAGCCCCCGCCCCAGAGCTGGGTGCTGCACCCGGGGGCTCGTGCTCACGGCAATCGCATCCGGCGTGACAGCACGGGACGACACAGCCGTGCACCCTGTCCATCAGTGGGGCCTGATCCCTCCCGGCCCCAGGGGAGCCAGGGGTCCTGCCAGCGACCCGGGCGATGTCGGAAGCAGCCCCCGGGGCGGGCGGGGGGGAAGGAAGGAAGGAAGGGGGCAGCAGGCAGAAGGGGGAGACGTGAAGAAGACGATTACCTGACAGATAATGTTATCATAGTAAGCCAATGCACGGGCATGAGGGGAGAGGTTACGGGGGGTGTCGCAAAGTGTCCTTACATTTGGGTGGGAGCCCTCGGCAATGGTGGACAGCGAGAAGTTGTCGTTGTGCAGCTCCGACGGCGTCCGGTACCTGGCAGACAAAGCGAGGGGGGTCAGTGTCGGCGGCGGTGGCCTCCCTGCGCCCCCTCCTGCCCTGCCCGAGCCCAGGGGGCTCTGGTCCATGCCCACCGCACGCCGCGGGACGCTCCTCGCACCGGGGATGCCAACCCAGCAACTGGGGACTAGGCCAGCGCAGGACAAGCCGAGCCGGGGGTCCCGGTCTTCACAGGGAGCCCCCAGGTCATGGGGAGGGGGGATCGCCCGCACGCTGTGGCTGCTGTCCACGTGAACACAGTGCATGCACACGCCTGCCTTGCACACACACACACACACACACACAGAGCAATGCTACCTGCTCTTCCCCTTGCTCTGTATCATGCACGCACACCCCCGACAGCCTGCACGCCTGCGTGCTCGCTCTCCCTCTCCCTCTCACACATGCACGCACACTTTATGCTGCACACATCTGTGCTCTCTGGCATGCACCGGCCAGCACGCACGGCAGCACCTGCACACGCTATCTTCCCATCAGACTCCAAGGCAGCGTGTGCAAATGCGAGTAGAGCAGGGTGCAGGTTGGCCGCTCCAGGTGAGCACGTGTGCACTAGTGTGTGTGTGTGTGCGCGAGACATGTGGCCTGTACACGGCAGGGGTCCCGACTGCCTCTGGGGGGCGAGAGCCCTGGGGTCCTGCTAGCGACTGAGATATCGCCCCCCTCAAAACCCTCCTCCTCCATTACAACCGTGGGGCACAGGCCTGGGAGCCAGGACAGCCTGAGGGCTGAACCCTGCTCCCGAAACGACTCTCTTCCACGACTCCGGACGCGGCACTTCCCTGTGCCTCAGTTTCCCCCATCTGAGAATCTGAGCTGATCCTTAGACCCTGGAGGATGGGGGGGAATCTGGGGCATGTGTGCACTGTGTGTACACCATGTGCGTGGACCCTGGGTGTATGGGGCATGTGTGTGCCATGTGTGTGAAGCATGTGTGTGTGTGGGGGGGGTGCACTGTGTGTCTGAGACACTTGTGCTGTGTATGAGGCATGTGTGTGCCATTTGCACGGACCCCACGTGCTTGGGGCACATGTGCACCATGTGTGTGAAGCATGTGCGCATGGGGCATGTGTGTGCTGTGTGCGCATGAGGTAATATGTATGCTGTGCGCATGGACCCCATATGCATGGGGCACATGTGCCATGTGTGTGAAGTGTGTGTGCAAGGGACATGTGTGTGCTGTGTGTCTGAGGCGTGTGTGTGCTATGTGCATGGCCCCCTGTGTGCATGGGGCACATATGCCATGTCTGTGAAACACGTCTGTGTGGGGCATGTGTGCCCTGTGTGTCTGAGACACTTGTGCTCTGTATGACGCACGTGTGTACCATTTGCACGGACCCCACGTGCTTGGGGCACATGTGCACCATGTGTGTGAAGCATGTGCACACGGGGCATGTGTGTGCTGTGTGTGTATGAGGCATATGCATGCCGTGCACATGGACCCCATGTGCATGGGGCAAGGGGGGGCATCATTCACAGCTTGGGAGGCCACCAACACTCCTGGCTAATAATTGCACTTGGCACTTTGCAAAGAGTCATTAACGCTCGTTAGGGAGCCGGCCAGCCCGGCCCCAGGGGAGCAGGGATGGAGTTGTGCAGGCCGTTGCAGTGCCGGGGTGCTGCACCCCGTTGCACCGCAGGCGGGGGGAGCCCCCAGCAGGATGCCCCATCTGCTCCGCTCCCGCAAGGGCACGCAAGGCAGAGCCCAGCTCTCGGGGTCAGGTGGGCCTAGCGGGGACCCCGGAGCTGACAGCAATACAGACACGCTAGCACGGGGTTTCTCAGCTCTGCTGGGGCATGGGGGGGTAGGAGCTGCCTTGCTGTCGTGACTTGGAGCCGGCAGGATTTGGGGTCCTCAACCCTTGGGGCTGTAAGGCTGCCTTTGCCTCTTGGGGACATGGCGAGGGGCTCCTGGCAGACACGGGTCTCTGCCCAGGCCATTTGCTGCCGGACGTGGGGTGTGCAAAGGGTCCGAGTCCGCTCACGACACCACCGCCCACCTCCCCCCATGGGTTTCTGAAGCCAGAAGAGACCGCGGCGAGCCCTGCGTGTGACGGCTCACTTTGCCCAGGCTGGGGACCTGCAGACATCCCGTGATAACCCCCAGCCCCACGCGAGCCACGGGGACGAACAAGCTTGTGTTCACAGAGCTCTTCGAGGTCCCCTCTACACGCTACAGGTATCATGCAATGAACTGCTTAATGGTACAATGACCTTGAGACCAGGAAAGTACCTATCCCACCACAGAAAGCTCCAACCAGCTATAAAGTTAGACCTTAAAAATATGTGCTAACTTTATAGCTGGTTGCTATCAAGCTTCAGTTTGCACATGTAGCGGGGTCTCCCCTGCAGCTGGGAGCCCTGTCAGCTGCCTCTGGGTCCTGGCAGCACATGGATGTGGGTGTTGAGACCCAGGTGGGTCCTGGAGCCGGGCGTGCAGCTGCCTCCGGGGTGCATGAAACCCCCAGGCCTGGAGGATCACAGCTGCCGTGCACAGGGGCACCTCCGCGGTTGGCAGCCCCTCAACCAAGGGGGTCTCCCAGGCACAGGAGCTTGTTTCTTGCCGGTGCAGGGGGAGCTGGGGATCGGGTGTGATGGGCTCCAACATGATCCCACAATCACATCTCCTGCCAGGCAAGAGCGGATCACACACTAGATCCCATCGTGTCTTAACCTGCCCATGTAGAGGGGGCCTAAATCACTAGAAGGACTTCAGGGGAACAATCACAGGCTGCCTTTCTAGGAAGCAGGGTCATCCAAAGGCTGAAGATCCCCCTCACTGAAATGCAGCCACTTCTGGGGTGGGACGCAGCAGCGGATGAACAGACTGCAACGATCTAGGAAGAAACCCTTGTCCGATGATGCCTGTGGGAGGTTCGGGGGGCTAAGAGCCCGAGCCGGGATGACAGGGATGCTGGGACGGACACCCCCGCGCTCACAAAACATCTCCCCGAGGCTCGCGAGCTGCAGAACCAGCGCCCGCCGCAGAGGATTCCCCTCCAGACAGCGCCGAGCTGCAGGGATCCGAGCCGACGTCAGGCTGCGAATGCAGCTGCCGCGATGGCAGTGGGCCCAGCCTGGAGTGTCCCCCGCTCGGGGAGCTCCTCCTGCCCGTGACGGCGGACCCAGGCCCCGCCGCCCGGGGAAATTTACTGCCTGCTGGAAGCAGAGCGGAGGGACGAGCCCGTTCCGGCTCACGGGTGCCGCTGCCCTCTGCTCCGCGCCACGGCTGCTGTCATGAATCACCCGCCGCCGCTGCCTGGACCACGGACAACCCTGCGCTGTCTCAGCAGGGCCTGGAGACCCTCTTCGCTGCCTGTCCCAAGGGCCGCGTGCTGTCCAGCTGCCGCAGCCCACCCCAGAGGTGGATGCATTTCACTAACAGGGTTTGGCCAAAGCCTGGCAAGCCTCTCTGCCGTGCCAGCGCCTGTTTCCCCCCTACGTCCGCCCTCCAGGACAAGGCAGCCACCGGCTGGGAGCAGAGGGGGCCTGAAACCAACAGGCACGGCCACCCCATCCCTTCTGCTCCTTGGGGCAAGCAGGAGGCTTCCCTCCCTCCCTCCCTCCCTCCCCGCCGGCCCCGGCTCACTTGGTCTTGCGCAGCTTGTTGTTCTCGGTCTTGAGCAGATAGAGCTTCTTGGCGAAGAAGACGGTCATCATGAAGAGCAGCAGCACGACGAGGGCGGCCGAGCCCACGGCCACGCACATCACCTGGAAGTCGGTGATGATGGACTCGCAGCGCATGCCCTTGTGCCAGATGTAGTCCTGGGTGTTGCACCTGCAACGGGACCCCGGCGGGCGGTCAGGGCACGGGGGGCCCCTTCCCGCCCCAAGGAGAAGGGAGAGGCCTGGCCAGCCCCGTGGAGCCCAGATACTGGGGGGGAAGCAACCAGCCCCGGCCCATGGGAAGGGGACACCTGAGGGGGCCTTCGCGGTGCTCGTGCTACCTGGGGCTGCACCTGGGGCTGCAGCACGGTGCCCCCTGCTCCAACCACAGGTGCTAGGCTGGGGGACGAAGAGGTCTGGGGGTCTCACGCCCTCCCAGAGGCACATGGGGACAGACCCCACTTCCCCAAGACCCGGAGCTGGGCACTGGCGAGTCGGGCAGGAGCAGCTGGGATGCCGCGGTGAGGGGCACGTCCGGCCCCCGCGGCGGGTCTGCAGCCAGAGGGGGCCCACGGTGGCCTGGGAGGAGACCCCCAGCACCCGGCCTCCCCCTGCAAGAGCCCCGCACGGCCCCAGCAAGCCATGGCCTGGCAATGCTCCCCCATCCCAGCCACCTGGACCACGGACCTGCCTGGCCCCAGCTCCTGCCGGCTCAGAGCAGGCCCCGGCTGGGCAAGCGGGAGGGTTCCCCCTGGAGGCACCGCCCCAGGTACACGGGGGCCATGCCTGCAGCACACACGTGTTCTCCCCGTGCACATGGCACGCATCTGCTCCTCTGCACGTGGGGTCCCTGCAACCAGCACGCGCATGCCCCACGTATGCAGGGTCTGTGCACACAGCACGTAACATACATGCTCCCCTTGTGCACGGTCTGTGCCATGCAGCACGCTCATGGGCTCTGTGCACACGGGGCCATGCACCGAGCATGTGCATGCCCCGTACACACAGGGCCCGTGTATGCAGTGCACACGTGTCTATGTACACATGGTCCACACATACAGCACACACGTGCCCCATGCATGTGGGTCCATGCACATGGTACACACGTGCCTCATACTAACAGTGCACACATGCCCCATGCACACATGCTTCACACACAGCACACAAATGCGCAGTGCACACAGGGTCCACGCACATGGCACACACCTGCCCCATGCACACGATTCACACCAATGGCACATGTGTGCCCCATGCACACGGGGTCTGTGCATATAGCACACACATGCCCCACACACACAGTGCACCCTTGCCCATGTGTGTATGTGTGTATGCCCCCCACCCAGCGCAGGATCCATGCAGACAGCACACACGTGCCTCATGCACATATATATACTTTACACACACAGCACACACATGCCCCCCATGCACACATGCCTCACAAACACAACCCTCACATGCCCATGCACATGGCACACGTATGCCCATGCACACATGCCTCACAAACACAACCCTCACATTCCCATGCACACAGGGTCCATGCACATGGCACACGTATGCCCATTCACACGGGGTCCATGCATGCTTCGCACCCACGTGCCTCATACACATAGCGCACACATTCCCTATGCACACGGGGTCTGTGCACATGGCACACATATGCCCCACACTCATGGGCCCACACACACAGCACACGCATGCCCCCAGCACGCAAAGCTCCCACAGCTGACAGGCCCGCTGCTGTCCTGTGGCACAGGCTGCCAGCGCTGATCCGCGGCATGGGCACATCCCAGCGTGCCATCTCGGTGGAGCGGCGCTGACCTACTTCCCGCCCCGCTGAGCAGAGCAGAGCAGAGCAGCGCTCTGGGCAGGGCGGGATGGGGAAATCCCTCACCCCGCACCAGCCAGGGCTCAGGCCACCCGGGATGCAGGGAGCCGGGGCTGGGCATCAGGAGGTCCCCGAGCACCCTGAGAGGCAGAGATGGGTGCACCGAGGCTGGGAGCCTCTGGAGTCGTTGGGAGCGGGGGGATGGACAGACAGACGCCCGAGACAGGCGCCAGGGTCTGCTCCAGGCCTGAGCTCCTCTCTGGGCATGGGTGTGTGTGTGGGGGGGGGTCCAGCACCCGCTGTCCTGAGCACCCCACCCTGTCCCTGCCCGCTCAGGCCTGGAGGAGCACCCCACAGGGGCAGCCAGAGACCGAGGGGCCGATCCCAGAGCAGAGCCGGCTCCCGCGGCCCCCAGCGTGACAGGTGGCTCTGTGGGGTATGCCAATCCCAATGCCAGGTATCCCACTGCCAGGGGGAGCATGGAGAAGCAAAAGCCCCGTGGGCCAGCGTGGGGCTGGAGGGTGCCTGGTTCTGCTGGGCCAGGGCTCCAAACTGTTGCATCCCCTCCGTGGACGCCGCGGGAGCCCCGTCTGCCCTGGGCGCCCAGCCCCGTCCGTCCGTCCGTCGGGGTCCATCGCACCGTGATCTGTCTCCCCCCAGGAGCCAACTGGCCTCATTCACCGGGGAGCACCAGGCTCGCTGCTCGAGGGCGTGGGGGCCGGGAGCAGGAGCCCAACACACAGGCGTGTGCACGGACACACACGCATGTACTTGCACAGGCATGTGTGTAGGCACACGTGCACACAATCACACCCATGCACGCACAGATAGACACGCACACGTGCACACAGACAGGCACGCAGATGCACCACACACACACGCACACAAGTAGGCACACGCACGTGCACACACACACACATGCACCACAAACATGCAAGCACACACGGGCACACACATGTGCATGTCACAGCCATGCACACACATGTACACATACACATGCAGGTCTGCAGATGCACCGCACACACACGTGCATGTGCACACACAGAGGCACATGCACACACACAGGCAAACACACACACACACGTGCATACAGCGATAGCTATGCACACACACATGCAGGCATGCACATGCACTACTCCCAAGCTCTCTACACATGCATGCACACATGCACAGCCACGCACACATGCACATACACACACACACACAGATATGTGCACACAATATGCATGTATATGCACACACAGCAAACATGCTCCCAGGTCATCTCCAGAGCGGCCAGGCCCCCCTGCAGCACCCAGCCTGCAGCCAGCCCCCGAGCCACGCCTCAGCCCGTCCCACCTGTGCCCTGGGCCTCGCCTATGGCCCAGCCCTTCTCTGCCCCTCCTGCAGCCCCAGGGCCCCACGTTCATGCCAGCACGCAACCAGCACACCCTGCGGGACCCAGGTTCCCCCTGTGGGGCTGCACCGTGGTGGCTGGAAGTAACAGCCTGGGGGCACTGGTGCCACCTGGCCCTGGGGACCCCGCCTCGGCCCGAGCTGTTCATCACGAGCAGGGCCCGGGGCCCAGCCACAGACCCACCTGGGTCAGTGCTGCACCTTGAAAAGCCCTGGCTGGCTCCCTGCCCCCTTGGGTTTAGCTGGCAAAGCCCCTTCCCCTCCACTGCCCTTCTGATCCTGGGGAGCCCTTAGGGATGAGACTGGCAGGGCAGAGGTGCAACATGGGGGTGGCCAATCCCCACAGCCCACCTCAGCCCCTGGCCGGTGGGACTTGGGCATTTTGAGGCTGCTAGGAGAGGCAAGACCCTCGGAGGGACCAGGGGCCAAGCCTTAACGAAGCCTTAATGAGGTGCGAACAGCTGAGAGCAGCCTGCAGCGACTTAGCTGGCTCCCGTCCATGTGGCTGGAGGATGCTTTGACGGTTGAAGTCAATGGGATCTGGCCATTAGCTGCCCCCTTGACCCACCCGAGGTGTCTCACATCACCCCCGCCACCAGCTCCATCCCTCCAGCCCTGCTCCCCGACTCTGCTGGGCCCACGTGCCCCCTACCTGCAGAAGGCTCCCAGGCTCTCCACCAGGTAGCACTGGCCCCCGTTGTGGCAGTAGCTGGGGAAGATGTCGCATACGGACTTGCAGGAGTTGTTGTGCCGCACGTAGCCGCTGCGGCACTCGGTGCCGTTCTCTCCTGCCACGGATGCCGGGCTCAGGTCCTTGCTGGGGTGCGGCCGGGCGGTGGCACCAGGCCCGGCCACGACGAAGGTCTGCAGCGGGGGCACGACGAAGCGACGGCTGGTGGGTTCGGCCGCCAGGGTCTTGGGCACGGCCGGGGTGGGCGCCACACGGCCATTCTCGTCCTCCAAGTCCCTGGCCAGCCCGGCGCCCCCGTCCTCCTCCTCGTCTTCCTCCTCGTCCTCCTCCGGCTCGTCCAGCTCGTCATCCTCGCCCTCCTCATCGCCGTCGGTGTAGAAGGAGGTGGTGGGGTAGAAGTCGGACTCGTCGAAGGGCGTGAAGTCGTCGTAGAGCTCGTGGAGGGACCAGGACGAGGCCTTGTCGCCCGGCTTCTTGGCCGCACCGGGGCCCCCGGCCGCGAAGTCATCCAGGCCCTCGACCCCGCCGCGGCTGTCCCCGTCGAAGAGATCGTAGTAGTCGATGTCGATGATCTCGGAGGCCGTCTGCTCCGAGGGCGGTTC